TATTCCACTTTGTTTTGACATAGTTCTGGGTATGGATAATGGAAAGGTTCATTCTGGGTGTGAATGCTACTTGCCCTAAGGGTGTGTGGCCTGGATAGACTATAAGAGACAGAAAGAGGGCTGCTGTTGCATCTTGCTGCTTGGCTACTTCATTGCCTGCTACCAGGCAGTCTTTTTCCCAACGTGAATTGTTTCTCCTCTGCTCTGCCCCTTTGCCATCCCACCCTGCTTGGAGTTAGTCAACTATGAACTGAAACCTCTACAAACTGTGAGCTAAGTACACCTTTTCTCCTTTAGCCTTGGGTGTGTAGTGTTTTGCCTCAACAGCAAAGAAACCAAGACACCTTCTTTTCATCAAAATTTCTTCTTCTGAAGTTCATGTATTCATTCATACTACCTTCTTCTCTCCCTCATGTCTGACTAGGGAGAACCTGCAGGCCATCCTTCCACTTTTCTTAATTTCTTCAACTCCACAATTTTTCTTTCCATTACATCTCCATTTCACCCATGGCAACTGCTATCGTCTGAACATTTGCCTCTGTCTTTAAAAATCATATAGTGAAAAAAAAATCATTATAGTGGGATTAAAAGGTGGGGACTTTAGAAGATGATCAGATGAGCTGAATGCCTTCTAACAAAGGCCTGAGTGAGCTGCTCACTCCATCTACCATTTAAGATACAGTGAAAGGACACTATCTGCAAATATAAGGTAAGCCCTAACCAGCAGATTCTGACAATGACTTGACCTTGGAATTTCCAGCCTCCAGAACTGTAAGCAGCAAATTTCTGTAGTTTTTGAGTTGGCCAGTCTGGGGTGTTTTATTGAAAAGCAAACTGAATCCACTACAGCAATTCTAAAAATTCACACCAATCCTAACACCCTGATTTCAGTATCCCCAATACATGAACGTCATTATCTCTAGTTCCCCTCGTCAGTGAACTCACAATTTAGACAACACTTTCATGAAAAACATTTAATTCCCAAGGAGGGCTTAAATTCTGAGTTATCTTTGACCCTTCCCTATTCTGAGTTAATTAGCCTCTTCTCACCTCACAAGTCTCCCTTCCCAGACTAGACCCTAAAGGCACACAGACACAGGCTTGGGCTTTCTGCAGCTATGAAGATCAGTGTTAACACTCAATTACCCCAACAGTGTCTGCTCCTTTTGTTCAGCATGATGAGGCCCCACTTTCTCCTTTCATGCTCTCCAGCCCCACTGACTGCTCTTATAAATTTCCTACTATGTTCCCCATTCAATTGTTACTGACTGTTCTTTCCCACGTGCCACAGGCCTGAATCAATCCACCAGACTCTCCATCTCAGCAAGTCATCTTCTCTGCTTTGTTACTGACACTACCAAGAACAAAATCATCCCTTGAATTTTTTTTTTTTTTTCGGAACCGGGGATTGAACTCAGGCCCTTACGCTTGCCAGGGAAGCACTTTATTCCACTGAGCCATCTCCCCAGCCCCATCCATTGAATTTTTAATGTGCTCAAAACTTAGGCAGTGCTTCCCATATCTGCCCAGTTGTGCTCTGGGGCTTTACTTCTCTCTCCTCATACACCTCATACTCAATCCCCAGAGCTTTTTTTCTCCCCAACATTGGTCTCAAAACCATTCTTTTCTTTTCACCTCCATCTTTCCAATTGCTTTAGTTCTGACCGTAATTATCTTGCACCTGGACCACTGAAAGAGCCTCTAAAAATTTTTCATCACTCTTAAGCATCATCCTATAAACACATTACTTTAAAGTGGTTGGAAATACGTGACTTTAGCAGAAGGTGATCAAAGGAAGCAACCAATGTCTCTGCTCAGCTCCCTCCCCTCAGGCTACAGTCAGTTGTTTTTCGGTCTATTAGTTAAGAATGTATATATAAAAAATAATGTATAGGGCCAGGGAGATGGCTCAGTAGGATAAGCACTTGACTGACAAACACAAGGATCTGAGTTCAATCCCCGGTTCCACAAAAAAAAAAAAAAAAAATGTGTAAATGAGGCAAGGTCTTGTACTCTGTATCCTCCAAGACATGTGTGTCCCCAGTGTTTGTGTGCACCACTTACTCCCTCCAGTCCCTCTCTCTAGACTAAGGTTCATCTTGCTTTATCCCTTTCGCTCCATTCCCATCTGTCTATCTATCATTCTTCCCCTTTTTCTGTAGCCTGAAAACTTTGAGAGGATAGTCAAGAGGACCTACCTTGGTACTCTTCTACTCCTGATCGCTCCTGCTGACTTTTCCTTCTCCCCTGCCATGTGAAATTTCTTGAAATTGCTACATTTGAAGCATTCAATACCTTAATATCCACTCACTGATTTTTATTATTTTATTTCTTAAATAGTTAATACATGCTTACAACTCAGAATTCAGAACTTTCTGGAAAGTACCTAGAGAAGCATCTTCCCTGAAATTATTTTTGAAGCTCACAATCTCTTCAGAGGCAATCCCCACTGCCAGTCTCTCATTTATCTTTCCAGGGAGAACATGCACAAATATATTCTTGTTTCTGCTTCTATACAAATGAAGACATTGATACACATTTTTATGTTTTTTAAAACTTAAAATATCTTAGAGATTGTTCTACACCAGTACATCCAAGCTGCCTTATTCCTTTTGATTGCTGCTATGATGATGTGCCATAAATCCTCTACTCTGGACATAGAATATTTGTAATCCTTTGTCCTATCAACTATGCTGCAGTAAGCAACCTTATACATACAATGTTTTTTTTTTCTAATTCTGTGAGTGCACTCATAGAATAAATCCAAAGAAATGAAATTACATTTTGCATTTTGGAATTAAATTGCTCTCCACAGAATTGTACCAATTCATCTACCCACAGAATGATATGGAAAGGCTGTTTTTCCCCCTCATACTCTCCAACAGATTTCTAACACATTTTAATTTTTTCCAATCTAACAGGTGAAAAGGCTGAACACATCAAGGATTCTTCTTTTTAAAAAAATTAATTTTATTGAGAAATAAATAGCAATAAGACAGTTTCACAACAGGTTAGTAGGACAGTTACAATAATTAATACATGCCATATTGTTATCTTCATAGTAGTTATTCATAGTACAAGATGCAGATGTGATATCTTGTCTAAACAATATTAGTACAAATTATATTTAAGTGTTATTTGTTTTTCCTCTGTGAATCTTTTGTGTCTACGGTGTATCTACGTTTGTTGTTTTAATGATTCCAAGGAACATCCTATATTAGAATTTTACTTCCTTAGATTGGGGGTGTAGCTCAGTGGTAATATACTTTCCTAGCATGTGTGAGGCCCTAGGTTTCATCTATAGAATCACAAAAAAAGAAAAAGAGCATTCACTCCTTTCTACCATATATGTTGCAAATATTCTCAGTCACTTTGTGATCCTTGGCAGTATGTCTTATGTGCTCATTAAAACAAGTACAACTACTGTCTTATGATCTGCCCACTCCCTCTTAATTATGAAACCAGAAGGCCAATTTGTGTGCTCATTTATTTCAGCATTTTATATCACTACCCATCCCTCTTGAGTACTCCTATTTGTGTTATCAGCACCAGCTTAACAGGAATCATCTCCCACTTCTGCTGCTATTTCCCTTTCTCTTGCACAGAAATTCATATGACAAATTCCTTTGGAAATGGAGTCTCTGAAGACCATGTTAGCAGCGCCCAGGATGAGCCATGGCAGAAGATCTCACTGGAGGCTTCCCCAGCACCTTCACTTGAGTGGGCCATGAGGACAAGAACAGCAGCCCATCTAGTGCAAAGTCCAAATGAAGCAGGCTCAGTACATACACCTGGCCTCTTGATTTTCTGTTTTCTACACCAAGCTGAGCATATCTAAGAACTGTCTCTCAACTCAGATGAGCTCCAGGGGCCTGGGGAGATGGCTCAGTGGAATAAGTGCTTCCCTGGCAAGTGCAAGGGCCTGAGTTCAATCCCCGGTTCCACACAAAAAAAAAAAAAAGGAGTTGTCAGTTGAGCTCTTACTACTCTAATCCTCTCAAGTCTGAAACTGCAGTCTCACCAAGCTCAGGAGTTGGCAAATCCTTCCAGTTCTGCAGAGGTCTCTTTTCATGGTCTCCATCCCAGTTCCATGTCACCACACTTGTCACCAAGTCCTTGCTTTCATCAGTGTCCCCTCAAGTCTGTGTCTCATGCTGTCATCCCATATATGTAGGCTCCTTCTGCTCTTGCCAAGCACACCTGTCCCCCCAACACACACACACACACACACACTGACTCCTCAGTAGAGAGCTTTGCAGAAATCTAGAACTGAATAGGGAGTTAAGGAAGCCTGGATCCAAAGGAAGTACCGTGTTACCCTAGCACTGGAAGATTGCATTTCCAAAAGTGAATAGCCCCTCCTCTCTTCCACTTAAGACAGTTCTTTAAATACATGTATACCTACACACAAACCTTTTAGCTATTTCTTTGCACACATCAGTGTATGAAGTGGTGCTTGCCATTGTTTCTGTTTGTTGTTGGCTGGTCCTAATCAACCTACTACAATACACTTTTACTCTGGTCTCACTAACACTTAATTCTTCAGGACCCCTTGCCTGGCTTTCACTTGTGCTGCAGTTGTACCCACCCCCTAGACAACCTAGTGTCATGTCCTGTCTCCAAGACTCTGCTCTATGCTCTATGTCCCAGAGCCATCCAGTAATGTCAGGCAGTGGAACGGTATCTTAAGCTTGGTGTGCTCACGCTGATGTCCTCTACCCAGTCTTTCAGCCCTGCTCTCCTCTGAATCCCCTTCCACCAGCACAACACACAGAGACCTGAGGGAAATAGCTCCCAGCCAGTTGTCACAGATGTTCTTAGAGATCTGGGACATTCCAACAGATTCTTAGGTGAAGGGCTACTTGTCCTGCCAATTTAGTATTTCTTGGGGTTTCAGGACTCAGTAACCTTCCCTGAGGGGCACACCCACCCTTACACGCTCAGATTTATCCAGATATTATTCTGAGGCCAGAAAACAGGAGAGAGAGGAGAAAAAAGAATACCCCACTGGTCCAGACTCCTGCCCCAGGGCGGGGAAAGAGAAGGAAAGAAGTGAGACGCTGGAAGGGGTGGGGACCGCTGGGACGGCCCAGGCTGGACTGTGTGGCCCCAGTGTGAAAGTGAGCCAGACACTGGCACTCCCTTTGCGGCGGCGGCAGGGCAGCGAAAACAGAGCCTAGGTACACGCCGAGTTCTAAGAGTCTTGCTCTGACTGCCCAAGCCATGGCAACAAACTCTGATAAAGTTCCCACTGCACTGGTGGGGCCTGAAGACGTCGAGTTATGCAGCCCCCCGGTAAGTACACCCTGAAATCCACCTACCGTGGTGGCAATTTGTACTGCTAGATATAGGGGAAGGGGCACGAATCTGAGAGCCCTAATCTATGCAAGGGGCGGCGTCCCACGTGTGTGTGTGTGTGTGTGTGTGTGAGGGGCACGACAGACACAGACGCTTTGTGCCGGCGGGGAGTACAGAGCTTCAGAGAAGTAACCTACCCCCTGAAGTTTGAGTATGGCGCTTGCTCCCCTGGGGACAACGGACCCTTCGGGAGGGATGAAAGGGCTCTGAAGGAGCCTGGGGCCCGCCATTTCTCACCCACACCCTCGACTCCTGGGGCAAGGAGAGGGCACAGCGAGGTGGGGGCAACTCAGACACGATCCGACACCCCCTGCCCGCAGGCCTACGCCGCGGTGACCGCGAAGCCCTCCGGCCTGGCCCGGCTGCTCAAGGTCAGATCCGTGGTCTTCACTTCGGGGGCGGCACTGCTGCTCTTCGGGGCTATCGGGGCCTTCTACTTCTGGAAGGGGAACGACAGTCACGTAAGTTCCCGACGCAGATCGCAGTCGCGGTGCCCAGCGGAGGAGCTGAGCGCGCGCGCGGGGTGGCGGGGCCTCTGTCCCACTTCCTCGCCCCTAGGTGGAGCCAGAGCGCTGGTCCGAAGCGGCCAGGGGCGCTTGGAGGGGCCTGCTGCTCTCTGATGAGCTCTAAGCCTCCTCCAGGTCCTCTCAGGACACCTTTTCCTTCTCCCTGGCCCCATCCCACGGCTTTTAAGAGGCAACATTTCAGGGAAGTAAATCGGGGTTTTAAGAAGGAATGTTGAAGCAGAACAGCAGAGAACATAGGGGAAACGGGGAGGAAAGCGCTTCTTGACCCAGCTTAAGAAATGCCAGGGGTCCCTTCTCTGAAGGCGGTTTACCCGTCCTTAGAAGAAGAAATAGCACTGAGCGACCTCTAAGGCCTGTCCCCGCCAAGAAAGTCTACCAATTTAAGACCTAAGATGGGGTGGGGGCTGGGCATGTGGTTTCAGACCTATAACTGGGGGTGGAGTTTAATCTTTCACAAAAGCTTTTATGTGTAACCTATTTTTTAATTTTTAAAGAGAATACAAAAAAGTAAAAATAAATTAAAAACTACAGGATTTCAGTAAAGCAAATGGTAGTAATTCAAGTAATGGTCGCTATATTGCACATTGTTATCTTCAAACTTGTTCAAATTACTAGGTATAAACCTGTAAGACTGGTCAAAAAATTAAACCAAATTAAAAAGGAGAAAAAAATTAAGCATTAACTGCTTTTTTCAGTAGACCAGTAGAAATCAGCAACATTGCATTGTATCCCTAGCATAAGAACCTGAAAGAGTAAATAAAATCCAAAAGGTACAATAGATACTGTGAAAGGGAAGAAAAAAAGAAAAAAAAAAAAAAAACCTGTTCAAAAGGAAGGAATAACAGAGTGATCTATTTTTTTTTAATCTTTCTCTGTCTAATGAAAATGTAACTTCCCTAAAGGTCATGTATATCTTTAAGAATAATTCTGGCCTAGTAACCAGTGAATTTAATGTAAGTGTTTCACTAACTACTGTCCTGCCTTCTCTGTAGACAACTATTTATTTAAAACCTCCATGGGCTCTCTAGGAGTATAAAAGCTGCTTCTGAGTGACCTGGGCAGTCTTACAGTGTGTTCTGTAAATACCTGAATGTGTTCTCCTATTTAAAAGGGAGCATTTTATCTTGATGACCTTTGCCAGCTCCAGTATAAGCTTATTTCAACTAATGGAAAAGAGCTCTGTCTCCAGGGTAGGCACAAAGGGCTCTTTCTTATTCACTGTCTTCTGAGGCTCTGTGACTGTTGTTTTTTTCCTTTCTCCCACCATGAAATTCAAAGTATGAACAAATTCCAGTACTTAGAGAAAATGGTGCTGAAAGCAATTCAACCATTTTACACATCACATCTTCGGCAGTCATTGCCTAATTTGTATTTTTAACTCAATTGCCTAATGTAGATAAGCATATCATTTAGCACTGAGTCTGATTTAGACTATATCAAATTTACAGCATCAATTTGTAGATCAGAACTGCACTGTATTTTGTTTAGATTTGAAAAGTGTCTAGATGTATTTGTATTTTAAATATAGAAGCTGGACCAGATGCTCATATTTGAAAATGGCAAATCTGACTGTGAGAATGGCTTTGATATCTACATCTCCTTAGTAACACGGTTTACACTGTCCTCTCTGTGGTAAATTTTATGGTGTTAGACTGTAAATGCTATCTTTCAGATAACAAAAGTATAGGTCATTTGGGGGATAGAAATAACTTTGATTTTATTTATTTATTTATTTATTTATTTATTGCTAAATGTTTTGGTCATGACATACATAAAAAGAATATCATTTGTCATTTAATTATTCAAGGCAAACTTGGCTAGTTGGCGAGCTTCTTAAGAGAAACTGAACAATCGTACTGAATAAGTGGGACTCCCTCTTAGCAAAGCTTTTACTTTACTGGAAGATATTTGATTGTCTGGTTTAAGAAAGCAGTATTAAATTCTAAGAATAGGACTGATGAGATAGCTCAGAAAACTAAGCACATGCCTGACAAGCGTTGGGACCAGGGATCAATTCCCAGCACCAGCCTTCCACCCAGCAAGCCAACCAGTGAGACCAGGCAGTGGTGGCACAGGTCTATAATCCCAGCACTAGGAAGCCTGAAAACATGAGGATCACTACAAGTCCAAGCTGTGTAATGAGACCATGTGCAAATGCATAAAAAAATTAAAAAATAGACTAAGAATATAGAGAAGTAGTGAATCACATTTTATTGCCAACAATCAAAGTTATTGCTATTTCATACCCAGACCAAATGAAGAAAATCAGGGTAATATTTTTTGAAAGCATAGTCTCCCTACATGTCCAGTGCTGCTCCAACATTATTTGGTCTGAAAAAAATCCCCCAAAATTCTAAATAGGATATATCTGGCACCATCTAGTCATAGCATATTCATGGATCTGCATTCCCAGAATAAAAATCTGAATTATGTAAGCAAAACATAATCAAAAAAGGAAAGACTGTTAAAACAAAGGCATATCAAACTAAATGGATACCCACACTTTGGAATTATTTGTGCCTCTTGCATATCGGTTTACAGAGAAAACCAGCTATAATTTGCCTCCTTTCCCTTTCACATGGTTAATTCCCTGAGGACAGGCCTACACTAATTTAGCTGGAAGACTATGAAGACTATGAAGCATGGGGCACTAATAATCAAGGGACAACTAACTGGGCTCAAATATTGAGGCCATTTTTCATCCGCCTTATTGTAAATGGAACAAGGCATTGAAATATGAGGAATTCTCACCAGCATGAAATAACTGACAATCCCACCCCTTGGGAGGAGGGGAAGAGACCATTGCTTAGAGCCTTTTTTCCCAGACTAATTTTTCTAGACATTTTCCCAAACATAATATAATTAATCTTACAGAACTTAGGCCTTATTAAAAACTCATTAGCAAATATCCTTGGCTGTAAAAGGCACCATATTGAGCAGAATTCTGGCAAATAATAACTTCATTGTACTTGGATAGAAATAGCCTTAGGTGCCAACAGCTCCCTGGGCTTAGAGCAGATAATGTAATTGCTGCTCCAGCAGCCTCGCCTGCTCCCCAGCTCAGAAGATTACAGGCTGTCTCCTGCCCTTCCTTGCCTCTGAGACCCCCATAGCATTAGAATGGAACCAGCTTCCCAGGACTGCTGCAGTGAACAGTTCGCTGTGCTTGGAGATGGGCTGATGCTACATACGAAGGGTGGCATACCCTCCTCAATTAGGGAGCCTCTGTTAGGCAAAGTGAAATTAGGACCATAGGCCACTCTGCTCTTGTTACCTTCCTGTCTGCAAAGAATTTAGAAATAGCTACATTCTTAAATTTTTCTATGGCACATGACTGTAATCTTAGTACTCATGAGGATTACAAGGTTGAGACCAGTCTGGTCAAATATGCAGAAAAAGGCCCTGTTTCAAAAAATAAAAAGGGAGTTAGTAATATAGCACAATTTGAAGGTTTGCTTCTCAATATGAAGAGGAGGGGAGGAGAGGAGAGGGGAAAGAAAGATTTCTTTGCTAGTAAATGTCTATGTTCAGTGTTTTAAGAGAGGGAGAGAGAGAGAGAGAGAGAGAGAGAGAGAGAGAGAGAGAGAGAGAGAGAGACAGAGAGACAGAGAGACTCATCACTTGAGTAGAGGGCATTCATTCCAGCAAGAACTCAAAAGGTAAGACTCCATTGGACAATTATTAGCTCATGTGATCAGTGAGTGCACAAAGAGAACCAGCCAGATTAGAGCCTGCTTTCTCAGATGGACATTTAGAAAGCACTGAGTTTCTAAAACTGGCCTCCTAGTAAGGACCCACCTGAGGGGCCAAGTAAAAGCAGATTGGTGGGCTCTGCTCCAATTCTAATAATATCCCCTAGAAGTAGTTCCTCTGATTAAGTCATCTTGGGAGACAGTAAACTGCAGGCATATGAGTTCTCAGAGGGAGGGAAGGAGGGCCAAGCTGAGATGAAAGCTGCTGCCACAAAGGGTTGGGGTAGCAAAACGATTTCTACATCTCTGATAGTGCTTTGTGGCTCTTGTAATAATGCTTTTATTTTCAAGTAGTGATCCAGTACAAACAGATATGTTGGGGCCAGGGAGAAGGCTCAGTGGAATAAGTGCTTCCCTGGCAAGCGCAAGGGCCTGAGTTCAATCCCTGGTTCGAAGAGAGAGAGAGAGGGAGAGAGAGAGAGA